TTTTTTTTTTTTTTTTAAAATATCATTTTTGATTTGTTCATCATCTTTCACTTTTTCATGCTTTTCATCATTTTCTATGATATTCTATGATTTTGTCATGGTCTTGTTCCATGATTCCTTATCGTTTTTCACAGCAATGCTTCATAATTTTCATGATTTTTCACAATTTTCAGTATCTTTAAAAGGTGAAATGCAGCACTTCGAGTCCTGCCATCGCTTTTGGAATCGTTTTAAAGACAGGTAGAATACTATTCGCTTTTGGGGCCTTGCCTGTTTGCGAAATGCAGAACTGTCGTGTCTGGCGTGCGTTTGTCACGAAGAGCAGAACTGGCGTCGCTTTTGGAATGGTCCCGGTGTACTTCGTTGCCCTGGAACGCCCTGCGCAATCTTACGCTGCTTGGGGATTTCGCGGGCATAGCAGCGCAGCTGTGGGAGGCACAGCATGGTCCCGCTGCAAAACATGGATGAACATGAGAATACGTATTTTACGTATTGCATTTTTAATCCTGCAATGATGTGAAGCCATAGTGACAAAATCAAGAATAGAATACGGACGCAAACTTAATGTACGTGTTATGTGTGTGTTTTCTTTTTTGTGTGTCTTGTTTTCTCGTGTTTTTTTTAGAAAGTCTCAGGCCAGAGCTCGATTTTACATTAAAAAAAGGTGAAATGCTTTGAATCATGAAAACTTGTGGAAAATATTGAAAAAGGATTACACATCAAGAAAAATTCTAGAATATTTGGATTGCCATCAGAACTTTTGATCCTGATGTTAATTGTTCTGTCTCTGTTTTTTGATTCCGCACTTCCGACCTTGTGTGGGCTGAGCTAGAGCGTTAGAATCTCATGTATGCCACTCCTGAACTAGCAACTCCCCCTCCGCGCTTGCACCTGATGTCACCATCAACCACAGCCATACCTTTGTTTGGCTTTGAGGCCGCTGTTGTGAAAGGGAATCCCAAGTATGGACCCTGCCTGAGATGCAAGCTTGTGCAGAGCAAAACTTTGCTGAAAGCAGCATGAGTCAGGAGACTACCAATGCAACAACGCCATGACAATCTTCAAGGAGCATGGCGCAGGCTCCAAGCTTGTCAGCTGGTATAGATGGCAAACAAATTCTGATCTTGGCTGAAGGATTGGGCTTCAAGAATCCCATGCAGGTTGCAGAAGCCATCAGGCGGGAGGTTGCCCGCGTAACCACAAGCATATACATGCATCTGTTTCGTTCCAGAAGGGTGTGCGGATTCTGTACAGGATCCTAGCGCGGTGAAGTAAACCACACTGACGCCTGATGGGAAATCAGGTTCTGCGGCCACTTTTCTTTGGCAGGTCTCATTGTCCACAGATGTCCACAGATGACTCGGGATTCGGGATGGTTCAAGGGCCCTCGTCTAGGGATGTCTAGGGGAACCACGCCCGCCCTGGCCGCAGCACCTTAAGCAAAGGTAGCTCCATGTCAAGGCACAGTCTCCGAATGCCTCTTGCTAAACCTGGATAGGGGAATTTTGGGTTTGCTGGTAAGCTCGATGCCAGACTTCCAGGTATGGATCTCAGAATGAATGATCGCTTTTTGGGGCATATCCGATTATCGGCCTCGACAGTGCTGACTTGGGTTGTCCATGCTTGAAACCGCTCAGTGTGCTCGCTCAGCTTATTGAGAAGGGTTCATCCACTGCTGCAGGACATTCTCTGGCTTGCATCTAGGCACCATCATCGTGGATGTCCTTGCTTTCTGCTTTAACTGAAACCGTTCTTCAAGCAGCCTAGCTCTCTACTCCTAGGTCATGATGTCTTGCACAAATTCTTGGTCTAGAGTCTATCAGAAGGTATCCGTGTCAATGTGGGTCCTGGCGCCTACGAATGTTACAGGCCTTTCCAGTCAGAGTCAGGGGAGGCCAGTACACGGCCAATGCCAGTGCCAGCAGCCAGCACCTGTTGTGCAAGAACAGCTGGAAGGCGATGAGGCGTAAAAAGGAGTTGGGCGCACCCGTTGCGTTGAATCAGAAGAGTGGTAGCATTTGTAAGATTTCAACTTCCACCATCTTTCGTCAATTGTGCAAGGCATTGAGGACCGCTGGCCTTGGGTAAGGAAAAGCCTCCACAACACGTCCTGTACTGGTCCAGGTCGGCCCTGCCCGCGAATGACATCCTTGGAGAGATCACTGTTGCGCCGCAGGGCTTCGTAACCGTGTGATGCTTAAGAAACATGCAGATGCCCTTGTTCAAGGTTTTAGAGACCGAGGTCAAAGTGAAAGAGGAATGGATTTGCAGAGAGGCTAAGTTTTCGAGCCATGAACGCTAGGTGCATAGGACCCATCTGAGATTGTGTCTTGGCCAGGTAGGGCAGATATTGCAGGGTGACGTTGAGTACACGGATTTGCCCAGAAAGAGAGCAAAAGCCTGAGATGTCTGCCACTGTCGTGCAGCCGGTGGAGGGATGTGGAATGCAAGAAGCGGCCTGGAAGATCATGCAAGGTTGTTGTGGATTATTCGTCTCCAAACATTGCCAAAGAGATGCATGTCGGTCACCTCAGGCATGGAGATTTTACTTTTTGTGTCAAAATCCGAGGAAGCCTGCTGGCACCTCGTTTGGTTCAGGTCCACGATCATTGGCGAGTCCATTCGCCGAGTTCTGGAGTTTTGTGGCCATGAAGTCCATGGCTACATACTGAGTTGTCTCGATGGCCTCTAAAAACGGAAGGAGGGGGTTATGTCAAACAGCAAAAGTAAGTACTTTTCAACTTTGTTTCCGGGGCTCGTTCCTTTGAGCGCAACTTCGAGGAATCCATGTTTAGGCTTCAGAGTCGTGAGGATTTACGGTATTTGTGCTCAGGGCCTCGGACTTTAGGCTGTTCCGGGTGCAACTGGAGTGTCTAGAGCTGAGGGCGGGGTGTTCAGGGTCGCGGGGGAAGATGATTTATGGTCCTTAGGATTGAGGTGCTGAAGGAAAACGCCGCGCGCGCCACCAATCCTAAACCCAATCGCCAAATCTAAGCTCTAGTCCTTGCGCGAATCCTCTGTTGCACACAAGTGGCAAAACCGGATTCCGTTCCGGGACAGTCTGCGAAAAGTGGAACAATGCAGCAGTTGGCCCCTTCCCAAAGGATGACAGGCATGAATCGAGAAATGTACCACCTTGCTTTCTGCTTTGGCTGCGTGCGTGTGTTGAAACCCGGCCAAACAAATAAATTGCTTATCACGCTGACCCGCTTGGTTAGAAGTTGGAGCCAGCCAACTGCGACCCATTCATTCCTTTTTTGGTTTGCATTTGGCAGAACAGCCCAGGCTGTGATTTAGCTGCGCAGGCTGGAGCAATGCTGCACATTCATGAATGTTCAACGGGTTGCCCCTGGCTGGTTCCAACCGCACTTGGGTCAATGTAATTGTTGAAACTGCATTCATACTTTGCTCTACGTTGACTCAAGACAAAAAGAGCATTATGCGGGCTGTGTGTTTTAGGGTTCGCTGCTGGTAATCTTAGGTTATCAGCCGTAGCGAACACCCTAGTTCTCGCTACTGTAGGAAGCCATGAACCCCAGTGCTCCGTCGTTCAAACCTGCAGGATCTTTACCCGCTCCCTCAACAGGAGATACAGGAACAACAGGTACCACTGCTGCGGATGCCTCGTTGGTACCCGTCGTCCCTCAAAAGAGGCAGGCTGGAGTCGTTGATCACAGAGTAACACCAGAGGCATTGGCAAGGTTGGATGCGGCAAACGTAGTTGTACCGAACGACCATATGTCCGTTACTTCAGCTGTGGATAGCAATGATGCTATGCCGCATGGGCCCACGTTTAATTTGGGGATGAGTCAGCGCAATAGCCAGCAAAACGTTTTCATCTTTCCAGACCGCCGTGCTGGCAGCTGTAGCAGAAGCTCGTCACGGAGAGATTATAGCTAGAAGGGATGCGCAGTACCAGGAGCAGTTGCGTGCTATCCAGACTAATATTCAAGCCGAAGTTGCACGGCTAGGAAGAGCTTGATACGTCCCATCAAGCTATCATCAACCAGCAACGGGAGTTTGCTGCTAGTCTGGGTCTTGGCCAACAACTGACGAAGCCATCACCACAGCAGTCCAAACCCAAAAGCAGACGCATGATCTTCAGGTTAGCCTAGTTAGAGCCACAAGCCAAGGAGAAGCCGCTCGTTCAGAGGCAGTTAGAAGGCAAATGGAAGCTGAGGCTAAGGCTAAGTGTGAGGCGGTGCAGGGAGAATTCAACTCCATGAAAGCAGCCCTTGAAGAATGCGTGCACAATTTAATGTTCAACGTCAGTCTATGCCTCCAGGGGGTGCAGCTAGCGCTTATCAGGATGATTTCAAGGGGTTTCAGTCACAAGCAAGAAGCTCCCAAATGCCAGCCACCGTTCGTGGTCCCATACCCGGGAGGGATGCTTTTGATCATGGCCCAGAAGATGCGCATGCAGCAGGGATTGGTAGTATTCCCATTCACACTCCTCCGTTGTTAGGCGCAACACATCGAGACGATGGGCCTCCCGATGACCATGATGATGATAGTGACGATGACAAGCCCAAGAAATACAAGAAGCCTAAGAAAAAGAGGAACAAACGTGATTCTTCATCCTCTTCCTCATCGTCAGATTCCTCTCAGATTGGTAAACAAATGCTCAAGGCTCTGATGAAGCAGTTGAAGACGAGTTCCAAGAAGGGTAAGAAATCAGAAGATGAGGGAACAAGTGGCAAGAAGCCCAAGAACAAGGCTAAGGAAACCGAAAAGATTACATGTCCTGAGTTCCCTCTACTTGAGCAGTACCGCAATTGGCGTATTCGTGTCAGGGAAGCAGTTGTGGCAGCCTCAGACAAACCCAACATGGCCTTTGAAAAAGTGTGGGGCAAAGAATCCACTGAGGAACAGCTTCGCGACCCGTGCCAAGGTCCTTTCTGAAATCACAAATGTGCTTGAAGGCGATTTCGCTAGACAGATGGACACCTTTATTCTCTTCAAATTGAACGATCACTTTGCCACCAATGCACTGCATGGCTAGAAGATTTGCTAGCGATTACCCTTGCCAATGAAAATCTGGTTGTGTTCCTTAGGAACTGGGAAAAGGTGTTGTCCGGTATTCAGAAGGCTCCTGATGATACCTTTCTCGAACCCCTGTCTCACAGACAAGTCAAGAGGTGCAAGGCGCTTCAACGTGACATGAATATCTACGAGAGGGCTCTGGAAGGTAGTCCATAGAAGACATACAAGTTCCTCTATGATGCAGCAAGCAACCACATCAATAGGAAGGGACTTGAGCGCAACCGGGAACGGATTGCTAAGCAAACCGCTGGTCAGCCCCGACGCGTTCCAAAAGGTTTCTGCGTAGCCTTTGTGCGCAATGGCTCCTGCAACAAGGAGGAGAAATGAAGTGCAAGCATGAGATGCCCCAGCCGCGTGGACAGCCGCGTGGACGTAGTAGCACACCCAACGGTAGAGGACGCTGGCCGAGAGATCGAGCCCGTAGCGGCTCACAGCCAAGTAAACAGGAATGCAAGTTTTACAAGATTGGCAAATGCGACCGAGGTGACAGGTGTAGGTTCGTCCATAAAGATAGGCCAGATGTGCCAGCTCCGTCCGACGCAGAGTCTGGAGGAAGTAGCAAAGGTAGGAAGGATAAGAAGCATAACGGCAAGAAGAAGAAGGAACGCAAGACATCCAAGTCTAGCTCTAGAAGCTCCCGAAGTTCCCGAAGCTCACCGAAGCTCCAAGTCGAGCAAAGGTTCGAAGGGCTCCAAGGGCTCAGGCAAGGGTAAGAAACCTTCTCTCCCCGCTGCTGTCTGCCTTCTAGGCGCAATGTTAGCAGGTTCAGCATCCAGTGCCGAAGGATACGCATTCCGGGAGGATATGCTGAGCCACGCAGATCATTGTGCACCTCTTGCTTATCCCGCGCTATCTACTGTCAGGTTCAACGACGTACCAGAATACCTTATAATTAGTATTCCTGTGAACCAGTCAGAGATGTATTGACTCCTGTCATTGACAAAGCAAGACAGTACAGTCATGAGTATCCCGTAAATCAACGCTTAAGCCTTGCGAGCAGGCAATCAAAGAGTCGCAAGCGGCTGCCAAGATGCTCAGAGCGACTTTGCTGCAAGACGAATCAGGTGTTCGTGCAAAGTGCAAGTACGAACGCGACACAGAATTTGGTTGTAGTCATTGCATTCCGGCAAACCTGACGGTGTCACGCTCTGCTAAACGCAGAAGACGCAATCCTACTCCAACAATTGAATGGATAGGTGATACTGGTAATGCCCAGGACTTGATTTCTGAACATGACCTTCAGGGCCACCCAGCAAGGATATCTGAAAATCCCATCAACATCATGACCGCAAACGGTCCAAGTTCGGTGGACAAGCAACTCAAGATCAATGTTCCCTCCCTAGGAATTGAGGCAGACCCATACGTGTTGGCAAGCACGCCATCGGTGTTGTCCGTTGGACATCGCTGTGTAGACCAAGGGTTTGACTTCATTTGGAACGCCTATATACTGCAGGCCCTACTTCTGTGATAAGAAGGGCAGCGAAATCTTCCTCGATGTTAGGGATCATGTTCCCTATCTTAAGTCATGGCCTGAAACCATCGATGTCCCAGCACGTCCAGTGCCCACAGCGCCGGCGGCCGCGAGGCCTGCTCTGCCGGAATCCGAGGCACTTGCTAACAAGCTCGTGAGTGACCGAGTTACCGAAATGTTCTTGACGGCCGACTCTATGCTGGCTCCGCTGCGCAACATGTTATTCGCCACCGAGAACCCTATGGACTTGGCACCAAGGATTTCAATGTCGAGATGCCGGTTCTCGGGAGAGATCAACATGCGCAACGGGAGTTGCATAAGCCTGAAGTGCCCACTGGCTCCTACTTGTGCAAAGATGATCGGACGTGTACGTTGCAACTTGGGGCGCGTGCATCTTCAATTGGCCGGCGCGGCTACAGCAGGGCCTTGAGCCCCGCAAGAGAACAGAGCAAAGATTGTGGGCAGTCAACGAACTAGTGATCATGCCAACTCCTGTTTGTGACGAGTGTCACAAAACAAACATTGACGGCGTGACTCATTGCATGCATTGCGGCAACCGACTCGAGCCACAGGGAGACATGGCCAACGCCTCGTCCACCTGCAAGGAGAAGGAAGGCGCCGCCCGGAGGGCAGGCCGATTGATTTCGTCAAGATGTCGACATCAACACCAACCGCATTCGTCTGCAGAATCGCGATGGGGACTTCCGCGACGTCAACTCAGCCGGCTCCGCCTTTCGCCAATGCTGCAAGCAGATCAAAAAGAACCCCCCCGGCAACAGCGATTCCCAGGTCTCCGACCTCATGCGCAAAGGGCCATTCGAGGCATACAACTAGGCGGCCAAAGGTTTGAGTGTAACCTCGCTGAATCAGATCGAACGCTTGGCGGCGATTCGGCTTCCGGATGTGGGAATATGTGACCAAGGACATCCGTGACGACCACTACTCAGACGGTCGAATCGCCGTTGCATGGAAAGATGGTGATCGGGAGAATCTACCTTGAGCGTGATTGCCTGAGGAGCTTTCAGCGCAAGTCTTGTCACGATTGATGAGATCTCCGTTATCCTCCACGCTGGCAACAAGACCCGGCCGCGCTACACTTTCACCATCCTCGGCTATGATGGAAAGAGGTATGAGTTCGCCGACCGGGAGGTCAGATTGATCGTTGCAAAGCTTGCCGACTTCTTCAACCACCAGCTCCCACTTTCTGTGCTTCGGGATTGTCGCAATCAGCTTCCCAACATTGTCATTGCTGATGAGATCAAGATCCCCGAATGACCGGCAGCTTTTCTCCCTCATCGAGAACACTCGCTTTGGGACATACTAGTGGGATCCAACCAACATTGACAAGAAGCTGCACGACTCTGAGAGGCAGGCACGTGCATCTGCACCGCCTGCCGGGAGGCTGTCATTGCTGATGAGATCAAGATCCCCGAATGACCGGCAGCTTTTCTCCCTCATCGAGAACACTCGCTTTGGGACATACTAGTGGGATCCAACCAACATTGACAAGAAGCTGCA